GTTGGGCTGAGAATGGAGCTCTATGAATGTAAAGAAGATGAAGGTCAGTACACACAATACATCCGTCCCAGGGTCCTCGCCGATTAATCGCATTAGGATTAGAAGAGAAGTTTTCTCTGATCCTGTCAATATGAAGAAAAAGATTATTATAATCATTGTCTTAAGAACTTCACTTTCTCTTTTATCCATAACGAGAATTGGTGAGGTTTTTAGAAATCTGATACTTACACGAAACTAGTTCTAAAAGACTTGACTCTGGAGTCATGAATCCGATTACGCTTGGGTGGCATGCAGGGCCGCTACTAAGAATTTCTGACTTTGGAGTGGTAAAGGATAAATGAAATGGATCAGAGCCTATGAATTCAGAGCATCTAAATACTTTCCCCAATCTCCTTTTTATTCATCCCTTTTTGATCAGTATGTATGTATATATTATCATGATTAATCCTAATTAAGCGAAAAATAGTCACAAGTATGCATGAAAACCCTGACATTTTAATTGTCATTCACCAGGAATATGTTCGTATTCTCTTGGGATGCAAAACAAAAGGATTAATGACAGTCAGATTACAGCCTCTTCACAATACGGGCAGAAAAATCGACCATCAAACGGAAGGCTGAATGATAAAGATGGATGGGTGTCTGAATATAACGACCAAAACCCATGGCTTCAGATTGATTTACATCAAATAATAAAGATCAACGGCATTGCCACACAGGGACATGCAAACTGGATTCAGTATTGGGTGAAAGAATACCGTCTTCAATACAGAAATGACACTATCAAAGCTTTCCATAATTACACCGTCCATGGTGAGCCTAAAACATTTCAAGGGAATACTGACCACAACAACATCGTGTTAAATGCCCTCAATCCTCCTATTATTGCTCAAATAGTTCGTATTSTACCAACTGCATTGAACAATAGATACATCGCCCTGAGGGTTGAGCTGTACGGATGCCCATATAAGGGTTCCTACCATAACGTTTAAACTAATCTAGCAAGCAATTAGCGTCGAATCAATTCATATTAGACGCTTAGAAGCTTTCGGATTTTATTTAGCTTGATTCGGCTTGATTGATAAAACTATCTGCACTACAATTGTGTCTATTTGACAATTAAAACACGAAGCCGTACTTGGCCAAATGGAGTCAGTATCAACTCGTAGTTCACGAGTCCGAGTGGTCTGTTTTTGTACCCACTAAAATATAGTGYAAATTTGAAAAAATACAACAGCGAACACTTTTCTCGGCATTTTTTCTACTAGTTTTGCTCCATTCGCTGGACCATGGTCTATCATGAATATACGTTAGTTCAGTAGCCAATCAGAATGCTGAATTTGTGATAGGCCATTTGAAGCATGGTGGATACTAAGAACTCAAATATAATTAAAACTATTGAAATGTCTCACTATAGATGGGTACTTTTGTGTCCATATTGCTGATATCTTCGATAGGTTCAATATCTTGACAATGAAAAAAGAACCTTATTTTATTTTATTTTATTTTATTTTATTAGCTTTCAGCCCTATTTTGGGCAGGGACACCGCAACAGCTTGAACCAATTACTGCGGACCCTCTACTTTCACACTCACTACCTCTACCATTAAGTATTTTAGCACACAACACTCCTCACATGTTGATTTTTACTGAGGGTGGAAAACCGGAGGATTAGGAATAAATTAGATGCACATGGATTAGGAATAAATTAGATGCACATGGATTAGGAATAAATTAGTTGCACATGGATTAGGAATAAATTACGCATAATCGGATAGTCATACTCAACTCACAATTATTATATCTCGAGTAATATGTATATGAAATATTCCATTATTATATGTAT